CAGTTGGAAGCCCCAAAGAGCGGAAGCGTTTGCAGTGCCAAATATTTTTTGCTCTTGCTTCCAGCATTTTGCGGTGTACCTTTTTGTGACACTCCCCTTTCCGGCGGCCACTCTCAAATGAGCACTCAACAAAAAAAAAGGGTTCTTATCGGTGTGGTGTTGGGCCAAAAGGATACCCTTTACACACAAATATGAATCCTCTTTCAGTACCAAATATCAGTGAAATTGCAGCATATTTAAGCCCAACTTTACATGATGATTTTCCTCGTTACTCAGCCAAAATGGTATAATACTCAATTTCCACTTGATTTTACCTTACCTTCGTGTATGGGCATATACACCCTCTCACCCTGAATTTAAAGGGTATTTCAAAATGCAGCCCAAAACACACACACACACACACGCACTCGCTTACAAAGCTGACCAGCGGGAATGGCGCGAAATTCGTGCATTAAATGGAGTGGACTTCCGGTTGGTGAAAGCTGCGGCGTCGAGTGGCGGCTCCTCCATCGAGGATATTTTGGCAGGACGAGATGCGGATGCGGAAAGCGGGAAGCGGGGTGGGGATAGATGGAATCAACTGCTGAATTTATGCCCACTGGCCAATAATCCATTTTTAGGGCCATCAACCAAACCGAAATATTGGCTCATCCATTGTTTCCGTGCTAATTGTTTGGGACTACTTTTGCCAGCAATTTGCCAGTGAAAATCCCAGGCTCAGTCTGCTTTTGCCCACCCACTTTTATGAGGTTTTTCTTTTCGGTTTTTTGGCAGAGGGATGGAGTAGAGGGAGGGAAGGTGGATGGATTTGCGGGCACAGCTGCTGCGAAGGCTTGCAATTATTTTGCAAACAATGAAATTGTTGCTGCGTGTGCAAACATAAAATCAAATTGTGTGTAGGTGTGTGCAGCTGTTGCGGCACAGATACGGATACAAAGACCGACAGATCCAGATACAAAGGCACTTGCGAGGTGTCGCATCTGCAGGAGAACATTTGCCTTGATTTGATTTTACCTATTTGGGGGGCGGCCGCAGTCCATAGATATGCAAATTACTTGTCGGCGGGATGGCAGGTGATGGCTCCATAAAAGCCGTAATCAATATGTCTCTCAGCAAAAAAAGCAGGGTACGTGTGCCATTTACTTGCCAGTTGGCAGTTGGCAGTTGGCAGTTTGGGCAAATGAATTTAAATAAGCCCAGGCAGGCCGAGATCCGCTAACAAAGTGCAAATCGAGCGAAATAAATCACAGCCCGCGGCACGGAGCCACAAACTTCGCGATCTGGCTAAATTAATCACGTGGCCATACATCAAAACAAACAGATCATGACAAATGCAGAGCGCAAATCGAGCAGGGACTCCTCCTCCCAGTCCCTCGATCACAGCTCCTTTTTGTTCTTCGCCAGCGAAGACACCTCGTTCATTGTCCGTCGGCTCAGCTCTTTCGTTTTGATACTCTATAAGGGGGTATCTTTTGGAGCTCTTGGAAGAGTCTTTTGATAGAATAAATATAAAAGAAATATCAGTAAAATCACAAATATCAATAAAAGAGAGTCAATGTAGTTAAGATAAGTTAGCTTTCTCTTAAGTAGAAGTAAATTTATATAATTTTTAAACATAGAGAAGGGCACTTCCCATTCGGCATTCTTAAAAGATTGCCCCTTTTCCTTCTGCTGCTTTAATTAAAATAATTTCTACGTTTGCTGGCTGCGCTTTTCCACGTGAAATTCCACCGCAGAACAAAGAGGAGACCCAGACGACATAGCCGCTGTCATGTTCGCTTGTCTAGCAATGTGTCCGCTGGCCAGGTTTGCTTCCAACACCAACACCAACTCCATTACCAGTCCATTCCCATATATATTTTCCCGGCAGAGTCCCCGGTCTCCGGCCAATGCCAACGCATAAATTATGCTTCGTTGTCGTTTGGGGAAGAAGTAGAAGTAGAAGTAGAAGTCGAGTCGAGTCGTCTGAGGTGACAAAAGGTACTGGGAACCGAGACCAAGAAATGGGAGACTTGCTGCGGGAAATTTCTTGGCAGGCAGAAAATAGATTTCCCAAACTGAGTACTGACTGCTGCCTGCCTGGCTGGTTGGCTGGTTGGCTTCATTGTCCGAGGCGCAATGGAGTTTTAATTGTCCAACGGGGCCACATAAATTTTGGCTGCGCGATTTAAGATTTTCTAAAACATTTGAAGTCAATCTATCGCAGCCCCTTAATGGTCAGCCAGGTGCCAAGAGGAGCTCCTTCTCCCAGACATGACCACAAAACACACAAAACACAATTTGTGGATGGATGCTGGGGAGAGAACAAAACCGAAACAGAACTCTTGGCCAGCAGCCAGCAGACGGGAAAACTCTTAAAGTGTAACCAAATCGCCGGGGGAGTGGGAAATGTTTTGCATTTCAAATTGCATTTTAATCGCATTTCAACCTGAAATGCCATTAGACATAATTCGTTTAGCTGCATTTGTCATTGGCTATATGCTCCGGCCAAATCATTTCGATATCTGGCCACAGTCGGGGGCTTTTCGGGACTGTTTCGCTCCGGCGGAGGACAATTGACGAACGTCCGCACACGTAAATCAACTTTGGCATTGATTTCCACTGACGGGACTGGCCGGACTGGCTGGAGTGGATGGCCATGTCCCTGGCTGATTGCGATTTGCATGCAACTGTCCGTAGATTATGCAATCACTCCCCCATGTCAAATTCAAATTCGTCCTGCCGTAATTGATTGTGAGCCGCCGCCCGTCCGTCCACTGGCATTTAATCAATTTATGCCCGGTGCCCGAACTGCCATTCGACATTCGAGAGTGCTGACTGAGTCCGTCGGGTATCGGTAACGAGTAGTTGTCGATCGATGCCGCTGTCGGTGCACTGCACCCGTTGCTCTGCCTTGGCACCTGTTACCACCTCCGATCGAATGATCAATCTGCACAACCGAAAAAAAAAGGCAATTTAAGGTAGAAGACACACGTAAAAAAAGGTGTTGATTTAAGGATCATTAAAAGGATTTCCTTAAGTAAGTGAGGAAGTTAACTTTTAAAGAATTTGAAAGATTTTTAAAGCTGCCTATTAGCTTGTTTACATGAATCATCAATCATAGTCTTAGTTCTCTTCAATTTTCAAACAAAAGTAGCATACCTTTTCCCACTGTGAAGAGCGGGGGCAATGTCTCTTCGATCTGTGACTTTTTCAGGTATAAATAGACAGCTCACCTTGCCGCTGAAGGTGTTGAAAGGCAGGTCCGCCGATTGATCGACCGATCGGTGGCACATCAAGATTTAATTTAAAATTATCACGACGCAACCTATCGATTTACCCGAGCTGACCCTGAGCAAGGCAGAGACATGAATGCTTTCTTTCTTTTGCAACAAATACGCTTTTTGGCCGGCCAGCTGCTCGAAAAACTCAATTTCCTGCGCGGAGGGTGGGGAGCCCATCAAATGCTTTACGACGCCAGACCGCAACTTGAAATTTAACACACGTTGTACACACACACACGCGGTGGGTGGTTTGACCCCTTCGGTCTATCTGTCTGGGCTGTGCTGCTACTTTTTCATTTTTCGCATGTAATGTGTGTAATCAAAGTAACAAAATCCAAATCATATTTCCTTCATTGACCACAAAATGTGGGCGGCCAACCCTTTTCCTCCCGCAACCCCCACACACACACTCGCATTCATCTTCGGTGCGCATATAAAACATTTTACTAGATTTATACAATCAATGCCCTCTGCCTCTGCCGAACGTTTCTTAACCTTGTTAGACTCCTTTTTTCCCGTTTTGCTGTGGGCAAAATTATTGGTCTGCGCATATGTAATCATCTCTGTGGAAAAGTAGAAAGTAGAGGCTGGTTGGCTGACTGGCTGGGCCGGGGACACACCATAAAGTGCACACAATCAAATCGAGATTCGTTTTTAGGTACAACTCCTTGGAGCCGCCTTCATGGTCCAGGGCTCGTTCCTTTATCATCCTTGATTTCCTGTACAGGACACTGCGAGTTCCAGCAGGCTTTCGGCCACTTGATAGTCAGCAGGACCTTTTCGCATATGTCGGCAATTTTTTATTTATTGACATTGCGCTTTATTAAAAGGTGTTGGGCGCCCAGGCTGAGCCACCCCAAGAGGGTTTCTTCCTGATAAGATTTGGTAACAGAATCAAGGGGTATTGATTATATTTTTTTATGTTTTCCCAATATATTTCCCAGCATAATTTATATAGTTGCTAACTTACATGCGAATAACTCAAACAAAAGGTGTAGCTCGGAAGGGGCTACTCGGGTTTAACTAACAAAACTGCCGAGTCAGCTTTAGGTTCAGCGGTCGGAGGTCGGGGGCCAAAGGTCTGACACCAACACGTCGCTTGGCGGTGGGCGAGAGTTCATTATTAAAAGTTTTTAAAAGCAGATAAGTGCACAGACTGATAGAGATACTCGTATCCCAGCTTGGCAAACACACCCAAATGAAAAGGACACTGAAAAAAACTTTGGTTTCTTCGGCACTATCTTGAGTTTGGAAATTAAAAACGTTTTCTTGATACTTACTATAGGACCTTACTAGTCCTTAATGGAACTGTTTTAGTGTATTAACTGATATCTATATCTTAAAGAAATAAAGACAAAAGCTGGTTATTTAATTAGTATTTCCGCAGTGCAGTGAAACGATAACGATAGCCCCTGCTCGGGCGCCACTTCACCTCTAATTGAAACATTAAGTTGCACATCACGTACGCGGTGTCAGACACTAGACGCCACCAGCAGCCAGGAGTCGGAGGAGTAGGTCGCCTAGGAGTATGCTAAAATGCGGCTGCGGTGGCCTTTGGGTTTACCTTGGTGCTGGAGCAGATGCCTTTCCTGCTTACCCCTGGACTTTCAGGGACTATCAGCTATCAACCACTCAGCACTTTATTTTTTCCGTGTTGGCATTTGAAAAGGGCATTTGAGCTGAGCTGGGTGGGCTTTGGCTAAGTGTGCAGAGTGATTATGTCGGAAATTTGTTTGTCTATGATTTCGCAGAGGTAACCCGGCTAAGGGGCCGGCAGGGTCTGATGAAGATCTGCCGCCGTTCGCTTATCCACTCGGTCATCACTGTCAAGGGAGTTGGAATTAAGGAAGCTTCTATTCACTGAACTTGTTATACTTTCAATGAAAAGTAAAGGCTGCTCAAGAAGGGAACCTTTTCAAAACCCGGAGTACTCAGGAACAGCACCGCCAGGAAATGGCCTGGTAAAAACATATATTGCGGATGATATTAACTTGACCTACTTGATGAATTCGATTTGAATAATTTTATTATTATAGCTTCATACATTAATTGGAACATCTAAAAAATACATTCCAAGGCATAAGTGCTTAAGGGGAGGGCTTCAAGCATGGCCTTTTGAAAATCTGCCCATATTCCCGGATCCACTCGGTCATTACTGGCAAATAAAGTTAATATGAAAATCAGTGCTGTTTAGACTGGGAATTCTATTCATTCCTTACCCCATTTAGAGCCCACAATCACTGGGCAGGCGGCATGCATAGTTGAAGGATCACAGCTGCCATTCGTATGAAGGTTGTACCAGAGGAGAGCTGTCCCAGCTCGGGGATAGATGGTGTATCCTGATTCTGGGAAGACTGTGGCTCCGCCCTGATCAACGTCAGTCAGCTGAGGTTAAGGGCAATATAAGATTAGGTCAGAAAAACTAAGAAAGAAGAGAGAGGCTCACATAAAACAAAACTGTGGCAACACGGTCTCCAAACATCCTTTCTCGTGCGCGTGTACGGTTAAAGTAATCCTTGTGCATGAAGTAGTGGCCTCCCAATCCGTAGTTAATTACCTGCATTGAAACAGGTTAAATACGCATCAGTACAAGATCAAGAAAATTGTTTTAAAGGCACACAAAACACTACCTGAAACTTCTCCGATACGGTCAGGTCAAGGCCCGTCATATCACGTATACGTCGTAAAATTCGCCTGGTCAACTCGTTCAGATCTCTATTTATCCAACGGGCCTTCGCAGTCCGTATGCGCTTATAGGCTTTGACACCGATCACACTACTAGGTCTTAGGCGAACAGAAGCAAGTTCTATCAGCTGCGCCGTTTCACGTGGGCTGAGCACGTCGTGGTAGAGTTCCACACTTGGGTGCAGTCCCACTTTTTCCACCTTAAGTGGTGCCAGGCGAAGAAACGGGGTAGTGGTGAAGTTGTACGAACAGCGGAGCCTTGTGGACCCTTTTAGCAAGCCTTTGCAACCTAATCTAAAGCGTTTCATCATAGCGCATTCAGGCTTCTTATTTTCTTCAAGTGTGCAGTTTGCCAGGACTTCGGTCGAGTTCTGTGCTTTCTGCCAGAGTCGCAGAACGTCAGCATTGTAGGCTTGGAGCTTGAGGCCCTCTTCCAGCAAAGTCAGGGCCTTCGCATATAGTTCTAAGGGATATCGATTAGCTTAGGAATCACCGATGGTGGGGTAACTAACTTTTGCTTAAATGGCATTTGGCAAGTAGTTTCAGAACATCGATCTTCTCTACTGCCAAGGGTGCCGGTACCAGCGGATCCTCTTGAAACCGATCCAGGACCACCTGCAGCCATGGAACAGCCTGAGCTCCAGCAGTCCCATTCTCAAGGTAATGACCCACCGCAAAAATGTCTGCAGAGCTCATGCTGATACTGAAGAAGTTTGGAAAACGTATAATATATTGATTATGAAAAGAGGACATTTTTGAATACTCACTTGTATTCTTTGCCATCGATTTTTCCCCTGACAAGATCTTCAACTTGCAGGCTATAGATGTTCTGTATGCGGGCAATGCCAGCACAGGCATCATTCAAGTCCGAGTTCTTGGGAACATCTTTCAGCCAGCTGTTCAAGTTTCGTATTTGCGCAGGGCCAACTGGCTGCTCCATGTACTGGCGCCACTTTGGCCAATCCTGATGCAGTCTTCGGATGAGTGAGAAACTATTCAGGGGATTGGACAGATAAAATAAAGCGTCCTTTCGACCCTTCTCGTTCTCTGCCCGAATAACTGGAATGTGACTAAGGAATAAAGACTTAAAAAGTATTTTAACCAATTTTAGTATAACATTCTCACCTACGTAGGGTCTCCAGCTTCTGCTGCAGTGCATTAGCATAGTCCTCAAGGTTGTCGATCAGCGTTTTCTCCAGTTCAAGGAGTGGAGGCATCGAGGCCACCGACAAGGCGTGATCTCCGTTCATCGAACTTTGGCCATAAGCCAGAGTAAGGAGAACCAACAGGGTCAGGATAAATCCTGGTATTTGCTTGCCTTTGCAAATCATTAAAGTCTTTATTTAAACTCTGCGTTCGTTTTACAATGTATTAAGATTTGTGTCAAGATTGTTGTTGCCAGGCCTGCTTAGACTTAAATGTTATCATAAGGGTAACGTTAAGGGTACTCTGAAGGGTATTCACTAGATGGAGGGAAGCTTAAAGAAGGTCTTACAATAACTTGCTACCGCTAGGTGTTCATTGAGTCATCACTGCCAAGCAAATTTCAGGTAAAGTTTTGAGTTATCCACGGAAATCAGCTTATGCCTAAGGCAAGTCGCACTTCCTTGGAAGATCTCCTTTCCAGACGCCAAGGTCCCACATCTGGGCGATTCCCACCGACTGCTGCACCTTATTAGTTGCATGGCCCCCTTGCCATTCCTCAGATAAACACTTCATTACTTCTACTTAGGCGAAGACATAGTTTCATAGTTCTTGGAGTGGCTCACATGTGAAACCATTATCTTATAATTATAATGCAAACAAACTGTCACATTCTCATGATTGATACAGCGGTATATGATTGGTATTTCCACTTTTTGATTATGATGAATGGCATTAGGTAAAACCACGTGTAATTATCTTGAAATGTTGAGACTTCTTTTGATATTGTTCTTATCGGAGGGAAAGTGAGTTTAATTGACAGTCTGATCGATTTTTACTTGACTTTATTGAGTTTCATGGTGGGCGTATAATATCACTTGACTATGTTTAGTTGAGAATCACATTCACCTTTTAAGGCAAGGTCTTCTGAATACCTGTTCGCGCTCTCGGATCCACTTGTTGCACACTGTAAGGGAGGGATATATCTATATAGTTAAAGATCGAAGTAAAGCGTCCAAGAAATTACCCCATTTTGATCCCACTATAACCGGGCAGGCGGCATGAAGAGTTTTGGTGTCGGGTTGACCGTCGTCCCTGAGATTGTACCAAATTATGACCGATCCGCGTTGGGGAAATATAGCCTTTTGAATGTTAGGGAACACGGTGGCCCCTCCCTGTTCTACATCCGTCAGCTGGGGTAAAGATATATTCTATATTCATGAACCGATTGAGATTGGAATATCGAACTTACATAGAAGAGTACGGTCGCAATACGATCGCCATTCATTGCAGTCAGATTGGAGCTCTGGGCATTGTCAGAAGGCGTAATATAGATATAGATATAGTTCCCTAAAGCCTATATACTCACAGTCTGATTGAAGAAGTCGTAGTGCTTGTCGTAGTGGCCACCTAGTCCGTAGTTCATCAGCTGGAGCATTTCGGAGCCGTACAGATTGAACCCGGTCAAATCGGCGATGCGGGTGTTTAGTCGAAGGGTGAGAGGGCTGAAGGAATCCGGGAACCAGGCCACCTTGGAGGTTCTGGTCTTGACCACTTCATTTCGACCGGAGGCGGCCTGAAAAACAGTGGCCCTCTTCAGACCAGGAGTGGCCATTCCCTGAAGCTCTTCGATTTCCTTCGCTGAGAGCACGTCGTGGTAGAGCACCATGTAGGGATCCAGACCCACCACTTCCATCTTGAAGGGGGCAAGGATCAGGAAGGGCGAGGTGGTTCCATTGTATCGACAGTGGAGCCTGCCATCGGTGGACGCTGGGAACTGACCCCGGCAACCCATCTGGTAGGCATTCGGCTTCCCCGCTCCCTGAACCTGATGTGTTTGCCATATCGATTTCGGTTAATTTTAGCCCTATCTGAGAGGGTGACCTTATCAGCCAGCCGACACCTACCTTCACATCAGGCCGCATTGTTGGTGCCCGTCCTTATCATCGTTTCGATTTCCGATTTCTTCAGCAGCAGTTTAATATCATCGGGCCTATCAGCCAGTGCAATGTTGACAACTTTCAGGGCATCTGCTTTCCGGTCTGTTATGGTTATTTTTAGAGGGAACTTATCATCAGGATGCCGAAGTACTCACTCAGTTTCAGCAGGGTTTCTGCGTAGACCATTCTCACTTCGTTCTTGGAAAGCTCCAGTGGAGCAGCCAGCTTAAAGGCCGCCATCCAGACAATGGTCTGGTAAAGCCAGCCGGCCGCTGCCAAATAGTTTTCCTGGTCGAAGAGTATTTGACCCATGGCATAGGTGTCCAGTGCTGTGAAACTCACACTGCAGAGTTAAAGTTAAACGTTAGAGTTCAGCATAAACTAATTTTAGTTCAGCTCTTACTTGTACTGCTTTCCATTGAGAAGGCCATGGGCTATGTGAGCCACTTGGAGGCCGTAGGTGTTCTGAATACGATCCAAGGCGGTCACAGCCTCCTCCACATCCGTGTGGGTGGGCATGTGTTCCCTAAGTTCTTGCACCTTCTCCACCTGGGTTAGACCCACAGGATCGTCCATGAAAAGCTGCCATATCAGCCAGTCACGATTCATGCGGCGAATGAGAGAAAACGAGTTCAGCGGGTTGGAAAGATACTCCTCCGTGGAGCCGCGGGCTCTGTCGTTCTCCAAACGCAGGCTGGCTATGCTCCTGTAAATGAAGTCCGAGAACATTTTAGGTTATGAAGAAACTATTTGGGAACAAGAAACTGATTAAGAATCAAATATGAGATCTTACCTTCTCACGATCTCCAGCTTTTTCTCCAGCTCTACGGCATACTCCTCTAAGTTATCGATAAGCTGCGCCTCCAGGCCTAGCAGTTTGACCATTCCCGCCACCGAGGTGCAGTGGCTCTCTTCAGCCTTCACCTGCCGCACAAGGAACAGCTGGCAGGTGAGCAGCATCACCAGCGATAGCAGCCACTTCGAAGAGCGCATCGTGGGTTACCTTTCTGGTCGGGGTTCTATGTGGGTCTACGTGCCAGACCCAAATGTCAGAGCCAAAACAGTTGAAGTTGGCAAGCTAACATCGGGCCGAGATAAATATTCACCGTTCTTCGTTTACGGCGACTGCTGATAAGCGACGCATTGATAGCGGCTCGCAGCGATTTAATTAACCCAAGAGTACCGGAACAAAAGTCTCGGACTGGCGCTACGTGCTTGCAAATCGGGAAAGAGCTGCGTCATCAGAAGAACGTGCTCGTCAAGATCACTGACCACCGGCAACGAGGAATCACCCGCCCGACAGTGCTGAACGCTTGGAATCACCTAAACGAAAGTGCTGATGCTGTCAGAATCGTAATCTTTATGGGCCACTTTCTTTAGATAGATAATAAATATTATTTATGTTAAACTGAAAACTGTAAACAAACATTTTTATAGCTGATCATTAACTTATTGTTAAACTTAAATTTCGTTCGAAGTTTCATTTGTTCAGTAAAACGTCATTTTGTTAAGAAAACTTTATTTCAAAAACAGAAAACACAGAAAAAAAGTTCAGATTTTCTATCGAAATGAAGATAAATCCAAAGTACTCGGAAATCGACTTCCTGTTTTACCAACCCAAGGCACTGCGCCCTGTCCTCTTCCTGTTCTACGTGCTGGAAACAGCGTTAAACTTGATCTGCATGGCCTTTCACATCAGGGGCTACATGTCGATCGACATGGAAGAAGAGCCGATGGACCACATTGCCCTAATCATCTTCTCGCTGTTTATGGCGGTGACCTCTTTCCAGAGCATCGCGATTTGCACTGGGAGTGCTCCCAACCTTACCGTTGAGATCGTGACGGCCTTTTTCGGCTCCTTTGCCTTCGTCGCTGTGTCCTTGGGAACGATGTGGGATGTGCAGAATGACATCCGCATGCTTTTTCTAAGAAAGGAAGAAGAGGTCCGCATAGAACTGGTTCCCTTTAACCCGATTTTTAACTTTATGAGGGCTCAGTCCATGAGCTCGTTGGCCTGCGGAATAATCTATCTGCTCCACGCCTCCATTATGATCGACGTCAAGTTGACCACGGAAAGTAGCGAAAAGGGCGACGAGCTGCCCATCCCACTCTTTGTCCTGGGCCGGAGTATTCACTCGATGCTGTATAAGTTCGAGTGGTTCCGGGAGTTCTGTGGGAACGAAATCATTGAGCTGTAGGCGAGAAAATCTCGCTGGCTGGTAATTCCTATTTTAAAATTGACTGGCTTATGGGCCACGTTTCTGTAAGCAATCCACTGAAAGTAGAAGTCCATTAAATCAGAAAAATCGATGGAAAATACTGTCAGTTTAGCTTGTTTAGTTTGTTTTGATCTTTTTGTTTAACTGTTCAAGTTCATCGTCATGTCTAGAGGATCGATTTTCGAGTGGGTCCACGGAACTGCTTTGACCCAGCAAGAAAGCTCTGCTTCGCGTTACCACCCGGAGGCCCTGCGCCCTGTGCTATTCGTGTTTTACACCCTGGAAACGGTGTTCAACATGGTTTGCATGGGATTCCATATCATAGGATTCACGACCATCGACCACAATATGTTCAGCCTGGATGTGCAGGCGTTCCACTATATCTACCTGATCACCTTCTACATCTTCATGGTGCTTACCCTCTTCCAGAGCATCAACATCTGCACGGGTCACACGCCTACCTTGCTTATGGAGATTTGTAAAGCCTCAGCAGCCTTCATCGCCTTCACCCTGATATCCTTGACTTCGATGTGGGACGCTGAGCGCCAGTTCCACATGTTCTTCTCCACGGCCGATGAACTTAAAAAGCCAATCGCGGTTGAGTATGGGGAGGATCATGGCACCCCTTCTTCTACTTCCTTCGCGGCCAGTCCATCTGGTCGTTGGCTTGCGGGCTGCTCTACCTTCTCCATGCCACCATCATGATCGACGTGAAGCTGACCAATGACCAGAACACGGGCAAAGTAAAAGGCGACTACATGCCCATCCCACTGTTTGTTCTCGGACGTAAAATCCACAGAAAGCTAAAAACCTTCAGCTGGTTCCGAGAGTTCTCCGAAATTGAAACGATAAACTTATAGATGGATTTTTGGCATGGGATTTCGAATCACAAAATTGATGGTTAAATTCTACTTCAGCAGATTCTACTTGATGCTTTCCAAATTTTGTACGAGTGTTAACTTTGATAGGGTATTTGAATAATACGGTTTTTAAATATATATCTTATATCCCTTATTGTTGGTAAAGGTTCTAGCTATGACTAACATATAGCCATTCTCAAACCAGTAGTAGATTACAGGATATGAACTGAGTATATATCATGAACTGCCCTTTAATGACGAGCTCTAATTAATTCCGATCTCATAGAGTGCCGTAATGTGAATAGCAATCGGCTATCTGCCAGCCGGAGCAGTCGGCCGTGCCATTCTTATTGGTAAATGCTCGCATTGCTGAACAATGGCTATCTGCTTCCGCCATGAGTGGGTTCGTTGAAAGGGCTTTGGCGAAAACCTAAATGCCGCTCTGTATGGGCCCACTTGTTGTGTGTGGCTAGAAAGGTATGGCAAAAAAGGCTTTAAATTTTACACTTTTATGGAGCGACCAGTGGGCGATGGCGATGGGGGCCGGGTCATATGTCCTGGCGTTGATATCGGCTTAACTTTGCCATAAAACTGTCAGCGTCATGCCTTTTGCGGGGTCGGGTCGTTGGACAAATGAAATAAATTTTACAGCCAAATGGACAGGGCGGCCAAACAAAAAGACCGAATGCACGGAGGCCCAGAGATTTGTGTGCGTGTAGACTGAAGGCAAATCTAATGCGGACAACAAAAGCACCTGTGACCTGGAAAATGTTCTGTCGGGCAAACCAAGTTTATGTCCGTGACCGTAGACGGTTCCGGGTTGGCTTTACGGGTCCACTGTCAACAGCTGGACGGGCCTTTAAGCTGCTCACGGGCCACTTTAAGCCAGACATGAGCAAATATTTGCTATGCCTCTGAGGGTTTCCCCAGGACTCCCAATCAGGCGAGGGCAGGAGGATGTTCATCAATTAAGTGTCATCAATCATTGGCGCATGGATCAAAATCAGCGGCAAACATGTCACGGTACAAAATATCGTTTAACCTAAAATGCCGGGACCACAAAACCTATTTACTCCAGTCAGTGGCAGTGATGTGAAGTTGCCTTCTCGGCAAATCAGTGCCTCGAATCATCCCTCTTCGTACTTAACCATATTTCGAACACCTAAACACACAGAAGTTAATGCATTTGCTGGGGACAGGACACCTTCGGAGGCATATCCATTTCAACTGGTGACCCCGTCGGATGACCCACTGAAATCCATCGCTGATATAAAACTCAAAGCGCTAAAACTTGGAAAAGTTCAGCCCTGCTTTATGGGACTGAGCTCAAATCAAGCGGAAATTCAAACACTCGGTTTCGAAACGACTTGTGAAACAATGCTCCATTAATGGCGCCCAACGGTCGGGGATGCCGCCCGCCAATCTCCTCCAATTCGAAATCAATGTCGAGCGGTTGCAGTTATGATTATTGCAGTTGTCAAAAGTTTTCGGATTCGAGGGCTGGAGAACTTGGGGATTGGTGGCGGAGGATAATGGGCTGGGCAAACAGAAGGGAAAGGTTTATGCAAATGCCAGCCGGGCTTTTATACACTGGCAAACAGACAGCGATGGCTCGCTAAAAAATGCTTATGACTTGTGTAAACAATTTGGCCACAGTCCTTGGTCTTCGGTCCGGAGTCCCTAGACCTTAGTCCTTAGACATCCTGCCCTGCTCTCCGTTTACGTGTAGGTATGCCCCGACCCCATTCGCAAAACTCTGCTCCTGCTCCAGTTAGGAAAGAGCCAAGGAGTATCTCCAGATCTCGTGTGTAAAAATATTTTATGGACTTTGGCATTTTGCTGGGGAAAAGTTACTTTGCCCGATAAGCGAGCGTGTGTGACTTCCGTTTGTCCTTGCATGTCCTTCTTTGGCGAGAGCCACTCTCTCACACACACGCACTCACATTCGCACACATTTTTATGCATTTTCTTAGCGGCCATTTTTATGCCCGCACACGTTTTCCATTAGACATCAACAGGACTGTCATTTCCCTATTTCCCTCAGCGCTTCCTTGTTTGAACTCTCAGCATGGGTGGAAGTCCCAGGGAGTCGGGCGGGGGCCTTTGGACAGGCCAACTCGAGACCTGTCACTGCCGCCTCTAATTGAAAACTGGGTCAATTGCCGGGTAGCACATTAATCAAATTCGGAAGCCAGCTCCGCTTTGCATTCGTCATTAAAGCAATTATCATGTTGGGACAATTACTCTTTGTTAGGATGCCACTGAAACTGCTGGCAACTCCAGGCTGGGAAACTTCAAACTGCGAATCCGCCGAATGAAAACTGCGCCAAGGTGGCATTAATCTTCATAAGCGTGACAAGTTCATTAGAATAGCAAACACGGCATTCATTTCCCGCTCACAGTTCCCCCCTCTCCGGAAAAGTCTACCCCTTGATGGGCTGCTAATTGAGAGCGTAAGCTTATTCCGGGTTCACGATTTATCACTATCTCGGCTGTTATTGATAAACTAAGCTCGGCTAGTGAGCTAATCTATGTAATATATGCAAATCTAACTGATATTCTACCTTTGTATTACCATAGCCAGCCTGGCCACGACTTTTATTCAGGTTGTTAGACATTAAAGGAGGATGTAAAACGGATCCCTTGTCCGCCTTGCCTCCCACTATATCCTCTCCATTTCGCACCGTGGCTAGCATAATTCCGCGGATATAATTTTTTAGCGAGGCGCTGGAGCGCGACGCGTATAATGCGCATAATTTCTATGCCACGTTGGTCACCCGAAAAGTAAATGTAGACACAGCAATGTCGTCCGGAGTCGGAGACGGGGAACCACCGAGGTCGACCTTTGTGCCAGCATCACCCAACCGCTGCCACAACTAAAACAACAACAGCAAAGGCTTTTGGCAATGGTTTTCCCTGACGGGGGAAAGTGGCGAAGGGGGAACTTTGAACTGGGAGCTGTGCCCATGAACAAAAGAGGTACATGCGAAAAATAAAACCTATTACCGGAATCATAATTATCTTTTATGGCCGCGTCTGTCATGACGACATTATGGCGTGGTCTGCTCCTGGTTCCCCCTTCCTTTCGTTTAACCCAGCAGCCTCTTTATACAGAGAGAGAAATCACAGTTCATTCATATCTAATAAAAGTTAATTAGCAATATTAATAACGTAATCCACTTCACTTAAGATTAAGGTTTAAGGAAAGATACTCTTCTAAGAGTAAGATATAGTTTGAAGATAGCTTTTCCAGTGCACTGCACTGTATCTTTTACTCTGTATCTCGTTCTGTCTCTCCCTGCACGTAGCAATAAAAAACCGCGAAATGCGGCCAAGTAGCGGCAGAAAAAAGTAACATAAATTACACACAAACCCCCAAAGCCCGTAGTGGGGTTAAGGGCATAGGGTAAGGGTAAGGGAGAGAGGGGGTGTGCGTGTTCGGGGGTCCCACAAATTATGTAGTCGGAATAATATTTTCATTACGGCCAGGAAAGCAGTTTCGCAGTTTCGATTCCCCCTCGCAGACATCTGTCGCCACTTCTGCCTTTGGCCGGCTAAAAACAGGTGTTTCCTAATTTATTGGCCTGGTCTGCAGACACCCCTCATCCCCCCTAATAATTGCCACCCAGCACTCCGGAACTTGCTTGTATCTCCTGCGAAATTATTATTAAAACTTGCAGGGAGGGAGGTACATTGTCTGCGGCTGGCAGACAAATCAAAGTGCCAACAGTGCTTGTCATGTGTTTTTTAATTTCTAATATTTCACGCGTCACACTCCCCCGCCCACCTTTCCACCACCACCCCCAAGTGATGCTAATGCTTCTGACAGAGGGCTCTGCCATTGTTGTGCACTTTGCTGCAAATTATGCGAGACACGTCGCCCCAGCCGCATTATTCGCATCTGAACGGATCGAAAAAGGCCAGCAGTCCGGAGGTCTGGAGGTGTGCCTGAGGTGCACTTCTCGTTGGGGGAGGGGCAGCCAGAGCGGGATCAGGGAAAAGAAAAGGAAGCTGGACTTATCCCCCAGGCTAGCCACAGCTCTACGTGTGATAATCCCAGCACCGCTAAAGTTTTCCCAACTCAAGAAATCTGTTTCAAGGAAAACCAAATACCTATCTTTATCTGACTTTACCTTAGAAATAATATATATCTGAGATCCACAGTTTCTTTTCCTTGTAGAACGTACTTCTTGAATCGATTTCCCCGAG